GCGGGCATTGTGCGCGGCGCAGGCAGGGCCGCCTCACCCGCACCCAGCGAGCTGCAAATTCGTGCGCGCCCGGAAGCCGCACGCCCTCTTCCCCCGGCCCCCCCGCTCACCTACTGCCGCCGGCGGCCGCCCCCCGGCCCGGCCCGGCCCGGCCCGGCGCCCCCTCCCCGCTCCTCGCTGCGGTCCCCCTTTGCCCCCGCACTTCTGCCGACCCCCTCCCCCTTCCCCGGCCTCCCCTCCCCCACGCCTCTCTCCTTCACCACCACCACCACCTCCTCCTCCTCATCCTCCTCCTCCTCTGCCACTTTCTCTCTCTCTCCCAGGACGCGTCGGATGATCCGGGGCCGCTGGGGAAGGGCTCCGGGCAGCAGCAGGGAGGCTGCGTCCTCCTCCCGTCTCCGGCTGTGGGGGAAAAAAAAAAAAAAAAAAAAAAAAAGCCGGTGGCAACGGTGTTATTTTGTATTAAAATGAGGAGGAGGAAGAAGAAGCAGCGGCAGCAGCGGCAGCGAGCGGTAGCGGAGAGGAGGAGAGGAGGCTGTGAGCAGGGGACGGCGGCGGCAGCAGCAGGAGGAGGAGGAGTAGTGATGAGTCAACTAATAATTTAATGGGGACAGAAACAGAGAGGGAGAGAGAGAGGCGGGGGGGGAGCAGAGCAGAGCGAGGCAGCTCCGTCCGGGGACACACACACATACACACACACATATCCATGTAACATCCAGCAACAACCACCAAACCGGCCTAAATAACAACCATACCCAGCCAGCCAGGGGAAACGAGAATTAAAAAAAAAAAAAAAAAAAAAAAAAAGACAAAATACAAAGCCTACCATTATTATTCTTTTTCAATTGTTACTGGGGGTTTTTTTGCTGGCTTGGTTTTTGTTGTTGTTGGCTTTTTGCAACCTTTCTATTTTACATTTTTTACCCCTTCTTACGAGTAACTCTTCTCGGAGTTCCCAGATTTTCTTTTTTTTTTTTTTTTTCTTTGCAGAAGCAGAACCAGTTTTTTGTTGTTGGTTTTCTTTTTTTTCCTTTTTTTTTTTTTTTTCCTAACAGGATCGGGGTTTTTTTAAATTATAATTTCTCCCGGTGTTGGACTCGGAGGGAGTGAAACCTCGTCACTTTTTTGTAGTGGTGGTGGTGTGCCTTGTTGTGTGTTTCCTTCCTCCCCTCTGTTCTTTTTCTCTCTCCCCTCCTCTCTCGCTCCCTCTCTCCCCCCGTCACTCGCACAACAGCCCCCGGTAAATGAGAGGAGACAGGTCCTCTCTGCCTTTTTTTTTTTTTTCTTTTTTCTTTTCTTTTTTTTTTTTCTCTCTCCGGACCGCCTAGGCGAGATTAAAAGTGGCATTTTAGTGCCTTTTCCTGCAATTTTCTCTACACTTTTTTTTTCCTCTTTTTATCTCCAGTAGCGATCTCTGGGGCTGAGGTTTCCGCAGAAAGTTTGGGGGCTGTTACGGTGTATATTTTTGCGGAGGGGGAGGGGAGCGGGCTCCTTCTGTGTGTGCTGCTCCTCTGGGTGCCTATTGGAGAATAATAGTGTAAGTGACAACCTAGAAGTAGACTTTCTGCTCTTCACACTGGATAGAAAAGCTGCCTTTTTTTTTTCCTTTGCTTTTTTTTTAATAACCCCCTTTCTCACTTGATCCTTTATGCATTGGTTTTATTTTTGAAAGGATAGCTAGACTTAAATCACCCTCCACCTTAATTTAAACCTGCTGCTTATTTTTTTATTATTATTATTATTAATTCCTCGTTTTGAGCGTTACACTTGTCTGATCAATTTGATCTGCAGCTCTGTCTTCCGTTGCTAAACCTCGAAAACTGGCTCTCTCAAAAGATATTTAGTCTCTATTTTTTTTGTCCATTGCCATTTTTGCTCATGGCTACTCTGTTTCTCGCTATCTGTTTTTGCCCCTCCCCGTCTAGAGGAAAATAGCAACAAGAAAAAAAAGAAAAAAATAAGAGAATATTAGGGGAAGTAGTCCTCAGGTCTGCTGCCCCCCCACCCCCCCCCCACCCTCCTTCAGAAAGGGGGGGACCTAAAAACATCAGTCTTGAACTTCTTCCTCTTCAAGAGCTCGGGCTGCAAAGGAAACCTCCTTTGTTTTTGTTATTTATATGCTGTCAAGTTTTGAAGTGGTGAGTTTCGGGTCGGTTTTGCTAATTTCACTCAGAAAACTGCAGTGTTTCTGTTTCTAGATAAGTACTTTGCTTCTTTGTCTCTTTAAAAGGTCACAGGGAAAGCTTGGCCTGGATTGTGAGAGCCATATGGAACGGATAAGTGCGGAGCCTCTCTCAAATGTGATTATGGGTTTTTATGGGGGAGGGAGGGAAGAGGAGGGGAAAGGCATGGGGAGGGGGCTGATTCAGGAGGAGAGAAAGAAATAATATAATACCGGCAGCGTTACATCGCGACAAAAGGAGATACGGCACCGACTCTCATTCAGAAATTGCGCGGTGTGCCTGTACGTGTACGCTGGCTCCGGGAAACTGTGCCTTGAAATTGTGCTCTTCTCTCACTGATCTGTGATGAAAACTTGTAGTTGTGAAAGATGCCTAAATGCGAAACCCGGGGAAACTCCTGGCCTGGAACCGGCGGAGATGATAGGTCTTTCCTGCCACCCTCTCCCTGGGCAGGCCATGCTGGTTGTTGCTCATCACTATTCCAAACTGAGGTTTCAGTGAACTTTAGCCTTGGGCATGGAGTTTAAATGAGTAAATTAGGTGTTTTATGTGCATGTAATTTTGCTTTGTAACATAAAGCTTTTTACAAGATGACTAAGCGGTGAAGGGATGCCGATGGGTGGGTATTCTCAGGCCAAGCGAAAATGACCCATTTGGTGTTTTGGTTGCAGTCAGTGTATTAACTAAGTGGCGATCTATCACTTTTATTCACTGTACATGATGTAGTGCGATTCTGACTCATGATGACTAGATACTTTTTGTAGCAAAGAACCTTCCTGCCTTAGAGTACTTCTGAAGTTGCCAAAAGTGATGAGGAATTTCTTGTTCGAAGCTTTTTTGTGTGTGTTTTCTTTTACTCTTCCCCCCCACATACCCCTTTTTTTTTTCAATTTTTTTTTTGTTGTTAATCCTCTTTTTCTTGAGCTAGACCAGTCTCAGAATAGCAGCCCTATGGTCTGTTAGCGTTGTTAGAAACATCGGAAGATGTTAACAGTTTGAGTCTGTAATTCTTTGCTTAGGTTACACTTAGCACAGTTTAAAAAATTCTTTTTGAAAAGTGGCTAAAATAGGCATGTTTACTGTTAATGAGACGCATGACCTAAAACAGATGGGATAAAGATGAATGGTGAACCTTAGCCTGTCACCTAACAGCATAAGGAAAAATAATGATTGTCTGAACTTCATCTGTTTGGTTGCATTCTTGAGGTTGCTTGTAAAGGTTCGAATTAATACATTGCCTTTTTCTTCACTGAATCGGGAAAAACAGCGTGATGTTCAAACAAGAAAAAAATAGTCTACAAAATTATCACTGGCATGTATACTAGTGACATAAAGTGTATATATATAAAGATTCTGAGATATTTAGGCTCTAATAACTTGGCTATGAAATGTGCAGAAAATGTATTGAATTATTAGGCAACTGAAAGAAAAGTAGCAATTATCCGATTCACACCAGTCTTTCTAAATATGACTTCCCCAGTATTACTATTTGTACTTGCTAATGTAAATACTAGTTCAAAGATTAATGTCTGTTGACCTGTCCTTAGCGATTATATTATTTTTATATATATATATATATATATAAAAAACATAATTGTCTGTATAGTTCTACCTTTCCCTGTCAGAGAAAGGTAGATAAAATACCTAACAATCACAACAGTATTGATTAGTGAAATCATAACCAGAAAGATGCCTTTGCTCTCAGGTAGGTTTTTTAATATAGTTGAAAAGCAGGTTCTGATGAGTGGCAAAAATCCTTAAAACTTATTCTGTTATGTTGTAGGTTTGGGAGATTTTTAGTGATTTAACTATAATTGCTATTTATAGACAGAGGTTTCAAAAGTTTATAAAAAGGGAAGTACAAGTATGCTATACCTATAAAGGCATATATACCTTTTCTTAATTTGCTATTGAACTTCTGGTTGTTTGGTTTCAAATAGCTGTGTTTGCATCACCCAGGTTTTGGGGTTTTTTATACTTAAGGGTATCAAAAGCACTGTAGAAATTGTGGAGGATTTCCCCCCAGTTTTATGTTTGGTAAGAAACTATTCAGTTATTTATCTTAATTGAATAAACTACTCTGTTTAAAACTTGAAACTTAATATCTGAAAAATTTCATATTTTGAACCTTGCAAAAGTTGATAAACTCTGTATAATATTGGTTAGGAAACTCAAAAGCAACCATCTCCCGCCACTGCTTTCTGAAGTTAAATATCAAATTCTTTTCTAACTTCTGTTTTTAAGGGGGAGAGGAATTGTAAATGGACAATAGTCTTCATCCCTAATAAATCTGTTGCTCCTTCAACTGAAGTTTTAACAATCTCTCTATTGTTGCTCGTCCATTTTATAATCAAATAGATCAAGAAATTTTCATTAGAATCTTTCTCTCTCTGTCCACAATAAAAACATCCGCGATTAATAATAAACCTTTCTGTGAGATTTGTAACAATACCTGTCTTGGAGCACACACCTTGACAATCATCATTACTTATATGGGTTTTAGACTATCTCGGTTTTAGTAGAATATCTCCAAAGATTTTTAAAAAAAATTTTTTAAGAGGTACTCTGGTTGGACTTTAAAAAACCATTCCACTAGATTATGATACAATCTCTCTGTAAACTGGGGTATGAGGTAATTTTTGAAGAATAAGTTTGTTTCTTTTAAAAAAGGCATTTCTTTCTGGTTAAAATAGTTATCTATTCTTCTTTATGAGCTTGAGATACGTATATATCTGTCTCTGTACATGTGCAGGCTGTGTACGTATACATATGCGCACACGTGTACAACATATATATTTTTTTTTTTAATCATGGCAGGTGATCTTTAGAGGCGGGACTGAGTATGGATCATTTGAACGAGGCAACTCAGGGGAAAGAACATTCAGAAATGTCTAACAATGTAAGCGATCCGAAGGGTCCACCAGCCAAAATTGCGCGCTTGGAACAGAATGGGAGCCCATTAGGAAGAGGAAGACTTGGAAGTACAGGAACTAAAATGCAAGGAGTGCCTTTAAAACACTCTGGACACCTGATGAAAACTAATATTAGAAAAGGTAATGCTTTTGATAATTCTGCATTAGAGAAATATGATTATAATATTTGGGGGGAAGCATACTTTTGCAGTCTCTACTTCATTTATATTTCAGGATTAAAATCTCTATTCTAAAATACTATATATTCCCAATTCTGATATAAATCACATTTGGGAAATGTAAGGTTCATTCTTGGGTGGAGCATCTTGCTTTTCAGGGTGGAGTCTGATTTTTGTTAAGGTAAAGGCTAGCTGCTGTGATTATAGCAAATTCTTATATCGAAATATAAGTAATTTGGTGCATTAATTCTTTGAGTAAGCGCTGGGCTTAAGAAACGCAAAAATATGTAAGAGTTAATACTGAACCCCCAAAACAAATTCTCGCCTTTCCTCCTAATGATGGTCCTATGATTGGAAGGGCAGCAGTATTTCCATAGCAGTTGCAAGTTGGTTTAAAGGAGAGAGTGTAAATCTTTAGGTATCACATTGGAAAAGTCATTTATGATGTCAATCTTCGCAGTTTATTTTCTTAAGTACAATTCATTATTGAACAATGAACAACTTGGGTGTCATATTTTTCAGTGGCTGGTTTGCTGTAATTAGACATTTACACAAGGAAAAGGCACATTTAGAATCATTGATGTTTGTATATGGATGGCTTTTGTTTGCATTGAAAATACTTTTAATGGACAATAATATGCAAATTTTACTTATCAAAATTTGTAAGTCTTTTTGACCATTTCCTGCAGGCTTGCTAATTTAAATCGAAATATGCTGCATGCAATTTGGCATATATCTTAAAACAGCCTCTACTTTTCCTAGTATAATCAGTTATGTTTATAATCCAGATTTTTCTTGTATTTGCTAAGCAAAGTGCAAAATGCAACCAAGACTATTAAACGCACAAAGTTAGAAGGCAGAGGAATTTCATTGTGTCTGATGCATAACATTTATTGTACAATCATTTATTTTTTCCTCGGTTTGGCGAAAACAAAGAATATATTGATCCTGAAATGAACAGACACAGCAGTCCGTATTGTTAGATCTTTATCTATTAAAAATGGAAAAACAGCACTTCAGCAAATTCTTTGGCCTCTGCTCATGATTACCCTATTTATTGATTGTTTGCCAAGAATGTATGCATCTTAAGAAAGCCAGGGTAAGAGCATTAAAAATATAATTTATTACGGCTTTTCAAGCAGAGTGCATTAACATTGTACAGTGAAGCAGTGGGGCTGTATAAAAAGGACTTTCTGACGCCTGCAAACATATAAGTTCCATAAATTCCTAAATAGGAGATTTCAGCTGTCTCTGGTATTATGTGATATTTGCACAGCAAACTTTAATGCCAGGACAGTTTTAGACAAGGATTCTACAGACTTCAGTGCTCCTTATGGCAGACGTGCTGTTTACACAGACTCGTAAACCTTCAGCAAAAGCTCTAACACTGCCTTCAGGTTTAAATCATGCTGTATTTTTAGCAGGGAGCACTGACCAATGCTCTCCCCTTTAATACTAGAAGGTTATGAAGTTGCTGCACTTGGAGGTCTTGCCAAGTACTAGCAGGAGTGATCAGCCAGCTGAGATTGTGCTCTCCTGTATAACATTTTTCACATTAACAGAAGGACACTAGTGACAGTTTGCTAAAAGATTTAGTGGCTTGATTTGTAGTCAGATGATACCTGTGTCGCACTACCGGGATCTACCTCTGTTGTGCTGTGCCTCAAAATTTGGCCAGGAGGCTCTCCTGTGTTGTTTAAAGTACTACATTTCCCAAAATGCTGCAACTGAAGAAACCATGTACTTGGCAAAAAAAAGGTGCTGATAAGCAGCAAAGTACCTGTGTGATGTGTCTGATCATAGCTTAATTTGTAGGAGCTGATAAGGGGAAAAACAAATATGCTCTAGATGGTTTAGGATGTCTCTGCACTATTTGTTAGAATGAAGCTTTTCTTATGCTTTATCTTCAGGAAGTACTGGTGAAACTACTTAAGAATTTTGAGCCCTTACTCTGAGTCAGATGGTAGTAGGTGAAACATCAATCGTGAGAGCCTGAAAGGGAGAAAAAGCCCAAAAAACAAACCACCACCTTTTTGCAGATGAATCGTGTGTGTCCACAGCTTATTTAAAACCAGTGAAATAAACACCGCTTTGCATGTACTGCTTTTGCTTTGGTCTTCTCTCCCTTCCCGGCCAGACTCACTCAGATTACAAAAAAACCAAAAAAAACCAAAAAAAAAAAAAAAAAAAAAAAAAAACCCAAACAAAAACAAAAAAAATTAAAAAGAGAAAAAAAGTCTCCTTCCTGCACTACATAAATCTTGGCAAGCTTTTGCTCTTGTGTTTCAGTCTTTCATGCTGAGACTATTGGGCAAACTAGAGTGAGTTTGTGAGCTTTTCCTTGCAAGCCTGAAGGGGTTTGTTTGCCAGAGACTGGCTCTCTGGTGAACAGATGTAGTTTAAATATACGTGCTTAAGAGGTATCTTTTCTATCATGATTTCTTACTGTACGTTAGAGCACAAATCAGCAGACGTGGTCTTACTCTATTGTCAAGAGTAAAGCTTCCTTTTAGGCTACAGCATGTCTGGTGCACCTTAGCAGGTTAGGAGGTTTCTGTAAGTCTAGAGGGCAGTGGTTATAGAGGCATTAACATTGTAGGACTAATTGGAGTTCCTGGGTGCCCTGTTAAAATAACCCTTGTCATCATTTATGCTAAAGATGATACCCCTCTGGCAGGCTGCCATAAGACAGTTCGGTACATCTCCTTTTAACCCTTCTCCTTTCTGTCATTAAGAGATACTAACCTGTGCTGCTGGAGACAGCAGAACAGGATTGGAGCTTAAAACCACAGGTCATTGTATCATCTGTGTCCATCTGGGAGGCTGGGAGGGATTTTCATAAAGTCCAGGAATCTGATTGCTGGGAGGGACTTTGTCCCTAAACCAGCTTGGGTCGTTTGTTACTTCTCTCTCTGTCAACAAAAGAGAGGGGAAAAAAAAATTAAAAAAAGCAAAAGGAACGAAAAAAAAGGTTACATGCTTAATATTCTGCGCAGTGTATGGAAGGGTTTGCCATATGATGCTACAAAACTGGAAACTAGTAATTAACTTTCAGGCATGCCAAAATAGCGTTGTGGGATGTAAAATGCGGGAGACAACAGCAACAAGAACAACAAAAATAAGCCTGAACTGCAGGTACACTTCTTAAAGTGGCATTGAATTCATTATTTGTTCCTTAAAGATGCGAGTGAAAGTAGTGCTCAATTGCACTCAGTGAATGAAGCACGAATTAGTGTTAACTTTTGCCTTGTTTCCTTGTGTACTCTTTTCAGAGTGAATATGTAACACACAAGGTGATTTGTTGTTGATGTTGAAACCAATTAAATATTTTTGGCAGGACTAAGAAAGTTTTAATGTTAACAAACAAAATTATGTGGCTGGTACTGAAATGGCTTACAGTGAAGACATCTGCAGTATGTATTTAGGTTCACATGCTGCCTGCTACTCACAACAAATCAGGCAGGACAGAGAGAATCAACTTCTCTTCAGTCAACCTTGTTATTTCTATAGAAGGTAATTCTTTAAATCTGCATCTGATCAAGGGAGATGAATTTGCATTTCTCCTTTCAGGGAGATGTATGTTTTGTGGAACTTTCTGTTTTTTGGGGAGGGTGAGGGGAAAGGTCTCGGGGAATATGTTGATCAAATATTTGTGATGATTCTTGATGCCTCCTCTGCCTGTTCATACAGGTTTTATTTACATAACTCTGTACAGACCCACCTACTCTACTATAACTCAAGTTTAATATCTTAAATTTCATTTTTTTAATAGGAAGTATGCTTCCAGTTTTCTGTGTAGTGGAACATTATGAAAATGCCATTGAGTATGATTCTAAGGAGGAGCATGCAGAATTTGTGTTGGTGAGGAAGGATATGCTTTTCAACCAGCTGATTGAAATGGCATTGCTATCTCTTGGATATTCTCACAGCTCTGCTGCCCAAGCAAAAGGTAAATAAGATTATGAAATTGTACAATGAATTGTGTTTGTTTGTGGGGTCTTGGGGGAGGGGCAGGATTTCTTTCAGGAATGCAATGCAGGTTTTACTTCTTAGACTTCTTGCTGATTTTATGTCTGTATTTTTTTCCTTGATGTGTTTTTATTTAGTTAGTTCACATTTTGTTCATGGGGAATGTGGAGGTAAATTCCTTTTTTTTTCTTTTTTTTTTTTTAAAAAAAGAAAAAAGACTTCAACTGAATCATTAGTATGCTTATTGACCTTAATAATCTGCTCCACTGAGGATCCACAAGGAAGTGTAAAGCATATTTGAGCAGATGGACTGTTGAGAGTCAACTTGCATTTATGACTGAATATCCAGCTCTGTTTCTTTTATTTTGTTCCTGATGGTTTTGTAGACTGCAAAGTAATTTTTTTTGTGCTCAATTCTTGCATTGCAAAATTCTTGCTATTTTGTTAAGAGGAATGCTAACTATTTTATCATGTCCTATTGAATTCGCGGGAACTTAGGAAAATATAGTTCTGTACATATTAAAAAAATCTCTACTGCGATGCATTTGTATAATTTCATAATATAGATAAGGCCTATCCTTGGTGGTGTGTGGGTGGGGGTTTTTGGAGGGAGAGGGGGGTGTTCTTTTGTTTTGCCAGATTTAAGAGGTCAGAAACAAAGGTGGTGATCTTGTTAAAATCAGATATTTCTTTTGCCCCTAGGAATTAGGTAAATCACTTTTTTTCAATTTTTCCTGCCCTTCTTGCCCACTCCCCCTGCCCTCCGAAAATTACAATCCTGCAGGGCTTATCCAGGTTGGGAAGTGGAATCCAGTTCCACTCTCCTATGTGACAGATGCCCCTGATGCTACAGTAGCAGACATGCTGCAAGACGTGTATCATGTGGTCACACTGAAAATCCAGTTACACAGGTAAGTCATATACCAGTTCTAGGATGTGAACTCTTACTTGTCTGCTCTGAACTGTTAATATTGCTTGTATTTAATTCCCACTGTGCTTTTTGCTCAAGGTACAAAGGATTGCCTAAATTCCTTTTTAGTTACTCTAATTCTTCTTTAACTTACAGTATACTATTGCAGAAAACTTTTATAGCTCTGATACATAGATTTTCTTTGGATATCTCATTAAAACTATATTGCATTTTAGTCAATTAAATGATGCATTACAAGAAGGCATTTTACATAAAGTTTACTTAAGAGAAAAATATTTTTGCATATCATGAACAGTACCATCTGTGTGCATTTTGTAAAAGAATGACTTGCTCGCACTTATTGTTGCTGTCTAGGTTCTTAAATTTCACGGCAACAAAAAAGAAAAAATGGTTAATATATTAATGCTTTTCATGATCAGTCGTGAGAAAGCATTACACCTTAAATTGTTTTACCAAGCGCATCAGAGCAGGAAGGTAGAAGTAACATGAAAAAATAGTCGCCACATGCAGCTGATGTATAATTCATGCATCAATACAGCAGATGTGTTGTATAAAGTAATTAACTAATCGGAACAATCAGGAGACCGAGAGCAATCTCCAGATGCATCTGCTTGATGCGCAAAATGAAATCTGTCTGTCTTAAAGGAATGTTCTGCAGCAGGATGCAATCTTGTAATAATCCCTTTTCTAATCTGTGTTTCAAATAGTTGCCCTAAACTAGAAGACTTGCCTCCTGAACAATGGTCTCACACAACAGTAAGAAATGCTCTGAAGGACTTACTGAAGGATATGAACCAGAGTTCATTGGCCAAGGAATGTCCCCTTTCGCAGGTACTTAGCATAACATGTAATAAATAATAAAGCACTATAGGCAACGCTGATGTGAGATTTGAGATTTCTACAGACTGTAGCAAGTAGTATCCGTGGAGTGGATCTGCCAAAAATGCAAATGCATTTGACCACTTCATGATCTTTATAAATATGCCTGATTCATTTTGAACATAGTCTTACAACATTTCCCATGGGGAGTCGTGAAAGGTTGTTTACACCACACTAAAATTGTCTTGCAGCAAACTGGATTTTAACTGGTTTTTGTCTGCAGTCTTTGAACTGCTTTGATGCAACTACTTTTTTCAAGCACATGTGTTCAAGATGTTAAAAGGCTCTTTACTTACTGCTGTCAAAAGTACTATTGAGTCTGAATGCTTGTTAGATAACCTACAGTAGTTTTAAATGCTAATTCGTAAACTGAGACAGTCTTTGGCATGATATATGAGAAGGGAATAAAGAATAAAGCTCTTTGGGTGATATGTTGTTGTTGCAAAGAACCAAAGGAAAATCAGGCATTTATTAGTTCTAATCAAAATATACCTAAACAAAAATGAGACCTCAATTTATGCATTGCTAAACATTGAACCGATGCATTCTTCAAGCCTTAGTTGTATTGTTCTATTTTTGCCATTCTTTTTGTTCTTCTCTTGTCAAATTACTGCAAAGGCACGACTCATTTTTCTATGCAGTATGGTGTCCAATGATGCTGTGGTGGGAACATGGTATTTTTTTTACCTTTTAAATTTTAAAATGCATTTCATTGTGGTGCAGTCGAGACAAATGCAGTATACAAATAAATGATGCTAGTTGTGGTAGGGAGGGAGAGAAATTAAGTCAAGGTATTTTTATAGGGATTTTATTTCTCTTGCTTAGAATACTGGAGTCTTTGTCTCTGAAAGACTTCAGTTAATCTACAAGAGACTACTCTCCTCCTCTGTCTAGTTTTCATGAGGAGATTAGCAGACTTGTTTCCCATCACTTTTTTTTCCCCTACGGTTAGATTGTTTTCAGTGATGTGGCTCCAATATAGGAAGTTTTGAAGTGGAAGTAATCAAAATTATCTTCACCGGTTGCAAACCATTCCAGTAATATGTCTATGAAGTTATCTTGTATGTACCTACTGTAAAAGCATGTGAGCTTTTGCACTGCTGGCTTATGGAGGCTGCAGATAACTTGGGATTTTTCTCCATTTTAATCTAATAGTGCTACTTTTTACTTGATACTGAGAGAAAGCAAATAATTTCTATTGGGGTAGAATATTTCTTTTCTATTTGAACTTCGTGTTTCACAAAGGAGTTTCTGTATATATGAAACAGGAAAAAGCTTTCAAAAGGAATGCTTTACTATAGAAAGTATCCTGATACAGGAGACAACTCAATAATTACATTCTTATAAAAAAATTCTTTTAAATGATACTGAATTTTTATGTAATAACTTTAATGAACAAAGAAACATTTTTCTTAATAGCAGCTTTTCAAGTTAATGCTTGAGATGACTAAAACTCCACACTACAGAACTCTGATTTGGGACGGTTTGTTTACTGGTTTGTATTTCTTTATTTGTAAAAGAATCCTTAAAGCCAGGAGCTTCTTTCTGTTTTTAAAAGTCTGCTTATTACTGTTGCCATCTCTATCTTCACCAGTGCTGCCATAGCTGGGTTGCAAGAATTAAATAGCTTCTGCTTTTCTTTTTTTCTTTAAAAACCAAATCATATTAAGCTTAAAGCACATTTATTTATTCTTAACTTTAGGAAAAACAAGCTTTTACAGTAGTTGATCAAGAGCCCATCAGTCAGTCTAAGTCTTCTTGTTTTCCTTTGGGAGCTAGAGGGAAGATGAGTTGATCGGACAGTGTCCTTTTCATATGAGTAAATTGATCAGAATACTTCCTGTATTTGCCTCATCTCTAACTCCTTGTATATCATTCCTATGGAAAGGGCACTGATTTAAGTATGCCAGTGTTTTATTAAAGGTACTAAAGTTTTTAAATTGCCCTGCCATAGCGTGCTCCTGCAGCAGAGGTGAGAAGTAAGAGGAAGGCAGAGGTCAGGAGACAGCATTTATTTAGGGGATCCATCAAAGTGCCAGCATAAGAAATCCTTCTGAGAGCAGAGAAGAGCTCTCTACTGTTATGTTCTTCCATGGGTATAGGTAATCCCATATGAAGTGCTTCATCATAAATGCAAACTAATGCAGTGACACCGTACCATAACTTATTAACACTGTTATGGATATAATTTATTAACCACAGAAAAATGACTCAAAGTGGAAACGAGAGTAGTTATCGTTTTCTGTCACTGTCATTAGTAATACTCTGTTTTGTGTAGGTATGGAAGGACTTGCTTTAAAGTAATTAAGCCGCTGTGCTCAATGCATGGCATCTCTGAAGTCCCATTTTCACTTAGAGTTACTGTATTTTCTGAAGCAATGTTGCATTTTGTATATTAAAGAATTGTTCATATTTGTTCAGAATACTGGCGTTCTATATACTGAAAAAAAACCTAAAAACAAGCCAACTATTTTATAGTGCAGACATATTTAATAACTTGAAAATACAAAGAACAAAACTTTGAGAACCAGTCTGTTTCAATTATAGAGTCTTGAATACTTAACCGTATTACTTGCTAGAGTAGTTTGGTTTTATTTTTAATTTTTTAGCCATTTATTTTCTTGTCCAACCTTGAGGTGTAAAGATATGAACTCTTCATGCCTTTCTTGATAAAATACCACTGTGACTTGCTGTCGTTAGGACAGTTGAATACATGGTCCTTTTTGAAGCTACTGTAATTCTCACTCTGTGCCTGTGTGGCCACCCCTGAAGGTCAGTTTTATTGCTCAGTGTATGAACCCACATCATGGGGAATCCCTGTCAACATGACTTGGAGTGCTTAGGACGGCCAGAAGCAAACGCACGCCTCTGAATTGCTGTGGAATTGCAAACAGCCGTTCAGACATTTAGCCTCAAATTTTTGGTATCAAGCAGTCAAGGTAAAAGGACACTTCAAATTTTGCATGGAAAACCCAAGCCTGTTCTGAATTATGCACTAAAGTGCATATTTTCATGCTTTACATCAGGTTTGCAGATTTTATTGCTAGAGACTGGCAGCATGTACAGATGCCGGCTGAAAGACTTTTTGCATTTGATACACACAGCTTGCTTCATTTCTGTTTCCTCTCCAGACCTCTTTTGATGGGGAAGGTAACTTGGAATTTAATCTAGGGCTCAATTTTGGGCCGTCTTGTGCATTCCATTAAATTGGTCTATCTCACGAGTGGCCTAGATCTCATTTCCCTCCTGTTTTGGCTCTTCAGTCTCCAAAGGGTTGTAAAGAAATTGTTCTACCATCAATTCTTATTTCCAAACCCTTGCACAGAAGCTCTACTCTACTTCAGCCTTCTGGGAGCTGCTCTAAAGTGATCAGGCAGGCAGGCAGCTCTGTTGCATTTACTTACTTAATGCTTGTCCTTCAATGTCTTGCCTTAGTCTTAGCATTTTCATACTTCACTTTCACAGTTTTGCTCTGTTTTGTTTTTTAGTGCAGAAGTTTCTTCTTACTTCCACAGTTAATAACTGGAATATTATTGTATTATATATTTATTCCAATATTAATAAGGGGTTTTTCCCTCTTTTGCTCCTATTGAATTACTACATCTTTCTCTGTTTCTCTGTGTATTTATATGTATATAAGTATGATATATATAGTTTGATCAACTTTTATGAGGAAGAGAAGAGCAACATTGGGTATTGGTCTAAGAAAAGGACAGGAAATCCTTTTGATAATTCTAGAACAAACCCACCGTGTACTTTTGAACATTTAGATGTATCCCTTATCTTGAGTTCCTGTAAACTTTTCCATGAAAAGATGATAACAAGTCACCTACTAAATGATGAGATTGTAGAGATTAATTAGTATCAGGGCACTGCTTTAAAAATATGGCAACAATCAAATTACATTGACTTTTCTACTGGTATTATCTTGCCTGATTTTTTTTTTCTGCAAAAAGATATTTTAAATGATTGTTGTTAGTATTCACAAACAGGCACTAACAAACCACTGCAAAAGCACTTCTGAAACAAGGTATTCTCTTTTTTATCCCGTAGTATCCTGAAATATGAAGGTATTTGGTTGGGGATTTTTTTCCCCTCCCTTTTGCTCATCCTTTAAGACTGTTTGTATCTAGTCTGACTCTCAGGACAACCATGAGTCAGTACATTATAGATGAGAAATTCCAGGCCTGATATAGAGTAGAATCTCAAATCTCAATGGCTTTTTGTTAAATCTTGTGTAGGGGACACGCAGTATTTCAAAACAATATATCCAGAGGCTGTGATACTTAGGGACATAGTAGTTTACAGACTATGTTGAAATTTTTGGAAGATATTTGTGTGTTCCCCCCTTCCCCCGCCTGTAATGTCATTTACATAATTTTGCTCTTGGTGATAAGGGAATAGCGTTATTTCAGTCAGAGGGATGTATGCTTGCATTGCATGAAACGTATGCACACACAGTACAAGTGCTGGTACGATACCCAAGTCTGCATAGCTTTGCACTTGTGACAAATATAACTATCCTGACTGCATTTTTAACAAGCTTTCATGCTGTAGTGAATGATTCTCTTCACCTGACATGGGCCCAGTATAGATCATATACTTTCTTTTCTGTTCAGATACCCTGCCCTGAATTTGCTTGCTGTTTCGTTCAGACTCTATATGATCTGGCAGAGACAACAGACAGAAAGCTTTCTTGGAACATCAGTGTTTCTCAGTTCACCTGATGTGAAAGCACTTGGCCATCACAGCAAATACGCAGCTCAATAGAAATCCTCTCACAATTCCACACTGCTGCTCTCATCCACCCTTCCAAAATCCTAACAAAAAAAGTTGTGTTTGCTAAAATTAAAATTTCTGTACCTATAGATAATCAAGGAATGAGCTGTTAAGAGTTGCCAAAATATATACTTTTTATGAGCAGATTTTGATTCATGCTTTACTAAACCAAA